TTAAGAGATCATCTGGCCTCAGTTTTCTCATCTGTAAAATGGTGGGGTTAGATTAAATCATCTCTAAGGTTCATTACAGTTCTAAATCTATGAGCCTACAGTCTCGAGTTAGACACCCTACGCATTCATTTTATGTTGTTGTTGTTGAGTGGTTTCAGTCATGCCCTACTCTTTGTGACCCCATTTAGCATTTTCTTGGCAAAGATACTGGAGTGGTTTGCCTTTCCTTCTCCAACTCATTTTATAGATGAGGAAACTGAGGCAAACAGAGTTAAGTGACTTGGCCAGGGTCACCCAGTTTGTAAGTGTCTGAGGCCAGATTTGAACTCAGCCAGATGAGTCTTCCTGACTTCAAGCCTGGTATTCTATCCACTGAGGCTCAGAGAAATAAACCGATTTGCCCAAGGCAACATGGAGAGTCAGAAGCAGGCTGCCGGTCTACTGACCTCTGTCACCTGCTTCTAGTTTTGTGCTCTGTCTACCCCATCACACCACACCTGCTTCTTATGCCTCTGTCTCCCCAGTAGCACTAAGTACAGGGCTGGGCAACAGTCGGTGCTTAATAAACCCTTGTTGAATGGAGAACACTCCCTCCTCGGTACTGTTAGAATGGGCTTCAGTCGAGATTTTCTTCTAAATATTATCTGGCAGCATCCACACGACCTCAGGTCCCAGCAAAGTCACATTCTGATATCACAAGATTCCCCTTGGGACTTGACAGGAGCAATACAGCTATTTCTTCGGGGTTTCAGGCCTCCGAAACTCCACACCACCGCTCATCTCTGTGAAAGCAAAACCACCAGCAGGAGCCTGGGCAGAAAAATAATTCTCCTTGCTGACCAGTTTATCCAGTTGAGCTGCTCTGAGGATGATAATTTATAAGTTTCCGGCAGAAAGCAAATATTCCCAAACAGACTACAGATTTAGAGGTGGAAGAGACCTCGGAGGCCAAATCCTTCATTTTAGAGATGAGGACAATGATGCCCAGACAGGTTAAGTAATTTACCCAAGGTCACCTGGGGAAATCAGGAGTAGGGCTGTGATATGAATGCAGTTCTTCGGACTCTAAGCTCAGTGCTCATTGAAAATAGTTTTATGTTCTTATGACTTTTTTGTTTGTTTGTTCTGGAGGCAATCGGGGTCAAGTGACTTGCCCAGGGTCACACATCTGGTAAGTGTCTGAGGCTGTATTTGAACTCAGGTCCTCCTGACTCAAGTGCCACTGCGCTATCCACTTTGCCACCTAACTCCCCCTCTTATGACGTTTTAAGCTTTGCAAAACACTTTACAAATATTATTTCATTTGGGAGGTATATGGCATTGTCATCCCTGGCTGCCTTATGGGCGCCTGACAAAAGGAATGTTCTTATTTTACACGAGAGGAAACTGAGGCTGAGGATTACACAGCTGGGAAATGGCTGGGACAAGCTTCAAACTCAGATCTTCCTACACTGAGACCAGCATACTATCCTCTACACCACCTAGCTGCCTAAGTAGGGAGTCTCTGGAAAACTGGATAAACCTTTCTATCAGGGGATGATGTTATCAGAGCTAGGAAGGACCTTAGATCACATCTGGTCCAACCTCCCCTCTGCTCCCCTGGTACAAAACCTTCCACCTCAGAATCTCCAAGAAGTGGTCATGCAGTCTCTGCTTGGAGACCTCTATGGCCAGGGAGCTCACTAGCTAGCAAGACAGCAGAACCCACTGCCTCACTTTGAGATGCTGTCTCCCACTTTCTGGTTCTGCTCTCTGGGGGGGGGGTCAAACAATACAAGTCTAATCTGTCTTCTACATGAAAGCCCTTCATATCCTTGAAGACAATGATCCTGCCCCCCCCCCCCAAGACAGGGCATCGGAATCTTTCCTATGTCATGGACCCCTTCCAGTCTGGTCTGTTTGGCTTTGACTCTGGCCCCCCTTCTCTAAGATGTGTTTTTAAATACTCTAAGGAAATGCTAAATTTCAGTCAGAGGCTGATGAAAATAAAGATATTTTCCCACATCCACATTCACAGACACCCGCCCCTGAAATCTATCCACAAATTCGTAAGGTCTTTACTCCAGGTTAAAATGCAGATCAATACTTAGTGTTTGTGATTTACAAACAAAAAACAAAAAACCCCAACAAAACCCAATAACAAAGAACCTTGAATTTCAATTTTGTATAACCAAATCCTGGTTTTGGAAACCCTTGGGGAGTGTGTGGGGTGTGGTAGAAAGAGGCAAGTGACCTGAAGGAGCTCTGCTTCAAGGTCAGGCTCTGTCACTAACTCTCTTTGTTACATCCGTTGTAAAAAGGGCAGCTAGGTGATGAAGTGAACGGAGCACCAGCCCTTCAGTCAGGAGGACCTGAGTTTAAACCCATCCTCATACACTTACTAGCTGTGTGACCCTGGGCAAGTCACTTAACTCTGATTGCGTCAATAAATACATAAACATTGGTTGCATCTTCAGTTTCCCCTTCGGTAAAACGTGTGTGCTGGACTCAGGGATCTTGGAGATCCCTTCGAGCTCTGATGTTTTATGAGAAAAGGAGGAGAGGAAGACTAATCTAATAGCTGACTGAAAAGGGGAGGGGAAGGAGCATAGACACAGTGGACAAAGTGCTGGGCGTTCAGTCAGTAAGACTCGAGTTCAAATCTGGTCTTAGGTGCTAGCAGTGTGACACCAGGCAAGTCGTTTTATCTGTCTCGGTTTCTTTATTTGTAAAATAGTGTTAACAAAGCATCTACCTCCCAGGGCTGTGGTCAGTGTAAAATGATATTATATTTGTAAAGTTCTTTGTAAACCTTAAAGAACTATGTAAATGTTTGCAATTATTATTATTACATTTATTTTTCATTTAAACGGAGTGCACAAATCAGGAGTAGGGTTTTTGAGAGGAAGAGATTTGTATTGTTAAGATATATGTTGTCAAGAAGAGCTGTTGGATCATGAAATTGTGGGCCTGACAAAAGGGATATTTCTAAAGCAGGAGGGCTTACAGGTCTGAAAAACAAATTTCTATAGCACTTAAAATGTTTATCTTTCACTGTGAGTCAGGCAGTGAAAGGAAGAGTAGTTCCATTTTCTAGATGAAGTAAGAAGGACCCCTCCCTACCCAGAGTGGTGACTTGCCCAGGTTAGATAGCAGGCTGGTGGCAGGGCTGGGCTCAGAAGCAGCTGCTCAGGCCAAGGGTCTTTCTAGCATGTTCTAGATGCAAAATGTTTCCCAGCTAGAAGCTGGACAGGAAGGACCTGAACCCTCGGCATAAAATCCGTTCACCAAAAGTCTTCTGAAATGGGAGAAATTTGCTTTCCTCTGGGCCTGCAGATAACCCAGGACAGGGAAAATAGTTCAGTGAGGAAATTACATACATAAACCCCGATCCCAGTGAGGCTGAAGGATAAGTGGCAGAAACCACTTGGAATCTTTTTCTCTCTTTAAAATAAATAATTCATTATGAATTTAACTTTAACAAAACCAACTAGACTCTCCACTAAAACAAATTAAATAATTCAGCAGTTACTTCTTTCCTGTCTCCTCTCGGAGTCTCTGCCCATTCATTCCTGTATTTGTGCATATATATTTCTGTGTATGTGTATATTTCATTTATGGGATAAATGCTCAGCCTGAAGGAGCAGGGCCCAGGCCAAACGCAGACCAGGACAAAAACAAGATATCAGACGAGCCTGTCTAATTCTGACCTGCCTTTACGACCCAGCTGGGACACTGCCTCCTCTGAGAAGCCTTCCCTGATTCCTTCTTCTCTCATGTCCCAAAGCACTCTGGGCTTCCTTCTGGTAGCCCTCACATGGGGACCTTGTATTACTCTCCTTCTGTCCAAGTCATCCCCACTGCAAACATCCTGAGTTATGTGTGTGGTTCAGGGATGGTATCATCTCATCTGTTTATCTCCCCCGCAAACTACACACACACACACACACACACACACACACACACACACACACACACA